TGTGGCCTCCAAACCGAAACAAGCTTGCACTGTTTTATTTCAGTTTTGCTTCATTTCTTCTCAAACAATCTCTCACTGCTAATCTACCAGATTTTTTTTTTAAACTTTCTTTTAGCAGGAAGGGAAAAAAATCCTAAAGATGTTGTTAACTCCTTACATACAATCATAAAAAGCTGAATATATATCATTCGGTATTAATTTGCACAGATTTATTTTTCATTACTTGTTAATGGAACATGATTGAGGAATAATATTTCCATAAATAATTTTCTGAAATAACATTAAAATGTTAAAAATTTCAGTTTGGGTGGTCAATCTAATACTACATATTTTTTGTAAAGCTACAATTAGCAATAACTTCAGGTCAACATCTGATGCTGGTATTCCAAGAACTAAACTTAGCAGATAGTAGTACTTTAGCATAGTAAAATTGAGAGAGAAATTTTATTGATGTATCAATCCAAGTATTTTTGTGACTCAAGAAAATGATAGTGAAAACACAACATTGCAAAGAAAGAGGCCATTTTACAGTATCACTTGATTCAAATAAGATTATCATCTCTTGCTTAGGTATAAACTCTACTATTCATTAATCGATGGGAAAGGAGAATGGGTAAATCATCTTGCAGGCTGAATACAATTTTTAATGATAACCTATGTGGCAAAATATGTTTGTGAGAATATCAGCTCATATTTTAAAACTTTTCCTCCATGACACATGGTAATCAGAACCATGGAAAATTAAATGTCGACCAGAATCAGAAATCTATTCATGCTCCCAAAGAAGGCTATAGTTATCTTTTTACTTATGAAATACAAGAAATTAAAAATAAGATTTCCTGTAATTTGTCCCAGAAATAAAATGTGCTTTACTTAAATTTTCTATGTATACACAGATGCAAAATATTCATTGGGTTGACTATCAAAAGCAAGTAAGGCTGATTATACACATTAATAATTATAAAACAGCAAATATACCCTAAAGTCCTTGAGCGACAGTGCACATGTCAGTAATTCTTCCCCCAACCCCTTGCTCCCCAAAAAGGAAATCTGTGCCGCCACTCTTAACAGATTGTGTCCTTATGAAACATCAGAATGAGGAGAACACATGGTGTCATTTCTGCAATTCTAGTTTTCTGCTTAAGAATCATCCCTATCATGCAGCAGCAACAAAAGTAATATACCACAGATGAGGCTCACTTGTTTAGCAATTGAGGGGAAATGGCTGATTTCTATGAAATCTTAAGGAGAAGTGGTGTGTCTGGCATTGAGGTAGGCGCTCACAGCAAATGTCAATGCAGGAAGTTCACAGCTGCAAACGACTGGTGCTTTGTATTATTTCGTCATGACAAAGTTAAGAAGCCATTGTGCTCAGCAGCACTGAGGGTCTTATTTTGCAGCAGTGGGTTTGCAGTCAGTTCAACGATTGCCTCCAGGGAACAGGGTGTGCTAACATGAGGTCATCCAAAGCAGATAGAAAAAAAGGGAAAGTATCAGAAATGATATAGGGGCTGAGAGGGGCACTTGCCCCTGAGCAAATGCCAAAAGAACCTTTAAGTCTGCTCTCCAATAAGCACTCTTTCTTCCTTTAGGCTTTCATTTATCTGATTCACAGACAAGATTGATGGATTACTGCCTAGTTAGTGTTAAGGGTGCATGGAGGGAGAGATGTCATTTAGTAATATACAATGATAATTCAAAACATTCTGTAAAGTTTAACACATAATAACCTGCCAATTTTTCACTCATCAACTCTTGCCCTTTTGCAGGCTATTACTGAGTGGGATTGATATGTCTATAAGTAAGGAGAGATAGACACATGGAAAACAAAGGATAGGTGACAAAATGGCAGGTCAACGGTCAACGTAAATTGAAACACAAAATAGCCAGTTTGTGAAACTGTAAATGTCTATAGATCAATTAATTTCTTCAGAAAGCAATCCGGAAGAAAAGTACCTAATTACAGGGGCCTAAGAACAGACCCCTACCTTCTCTTGTTTCTTCCAGCCCAAGGCCTACTATTTCCCTAAAGATGGCCAGATTAATTATTCTTCTATGTAATTTCATTCCTTCCCATAATTACAGCCTACGTCAGGTCAATGTAGTAGCTGCACAAAAAAGCATGGCTCAAATAGCTGATAATAGCCTGCCAAAACCCACTTACAACTTATCAATCTGTTTCAATAACCATTTACAAAGGTCCTAAATTTAATTTTAATGATGGAACTAGTAACATACACTTAACCTAAACTCTCTCAGTTGCAGGGTCTGACCTCAGGTGGCAGGGCCTTTTTTAACCAAGAAAATGGACCATGTGTTGCTTTAATAGATGCTTGTGGTTCTTCACCTCATCACAAGGCTGAATGTGACATACATTTACAGATATGCAATGCAGGTATCAGAGACTCCTCTGCTAGTTCAGCTGGGGTGACTGAGGTGTGTAATTAGCTCGCCCTTCAAATATTTTGAGAGACCACAATGTGTTCTCTGTACTGGGTGCTATTTTTATGTAGTTTTTTTAATCCACACAACTCTTTGAGTTATAAAACCAGATAACCCATGTGGTCATAAAATCAGAAAACGATAACCCCAGTACTGGTCTACACACATATTAGAGTTCACAGTTTGTTCTGTAGCAGGATGGTATTTTATTTATGCACATTTAAATTATACACATTTATAATATGAAAAAGGTAGTTAACAGATAATACAAATAATCTTCTCAGTTTAAAGTTAATTTTATCACAGGGTTGGGATGAATGAAACCTTTGCTTTCATAACACTAACTTTATACTGAAATTTAAAGATTCCATATTTAAATTTTAAAAACCTTTGCTAAACTCAAACTGAAAGTGTTGACCACATCACTTTATGCAACTATAGCCATGGCTCCCAAAACCACACTCAGTTAAAAACATATCAAAATCATAAATTATGTGAAAGAAGATACTAAGTAAACATGCTAAATAGATTCTTAGGGGCTTTAACCAACCAAATAATCACAATTTCAAAGTATAACTTATCAACAGTATTGTCTGCTCTTCATAGTTTTCATTTCTAGTTCAAGCTATTAAATATTACTAAATTTAAATTTTAAAAGTATTAGGTAATTAAGAAAACTTTTGGAAAGTAACGAAGTGTTAGAGAATTTGTGATATATTTCTGAATGCAGTAAAGACATGTTTAGCTTAATCTAAATAAGAAATCTAACCTAAACAGCATAAATTTATAAAATATTTTGGAGGTAACTCCTTTAACATCAATTATATACAATAAAAGATCCTACAATTATTAAGTGAATAAATTATCATGTTCAAACATTTCTTTTTAGCTGTATTCTCAATCAATACTTCAAATTCCTTCATTTAATTAGTTGCCTGAATAGTATCCCATTACAGGAAATAAAAACGGGAAATTTCTGCTTAACAATAGAATATATTATGTAGATATAATATACAATGCTAAATATTGATTCCATACATACATACTGCATTTGCTCTTTTTTTTGTGATATTGGCAATTGAACTCAGGGCCTCACACTTGCTAGTCAGGCATTCTACCACTCGAGCCACTCTACCACACCTGTTTTGCATTGTGTATTTTTGAGATGGGGGCTACCAAACTATTTGCCCAGCCTGGCATCAAGTTGCAATCCTCCTGATTTCTGTATTCCGATTACAGGTGTGAGTCACCACTGATGGGCTGATTCCATTCTTTTAAGTTTGCCTTATGAATTGTTGGACTGTGTGCAATGTTTTTGCACCCAATGAAAGTATATGTTGTAAAAATGATGTTGTAAACATCATGCTGTGTTCCTAGTGTGCCTACTAAATCTTCTGTCAGAGTCACTAAAGATATCAATTTTTATATTCTTTTAAATTGTGATAATTCTGATATTATTTTTATTACTTCTGGATTACTATAATATTCAAGAGATAATAAAAATAGTGAAAAAATTTTCTATTTTGTATTAAGGCAACAGATACAAATGTTTGAAATAATACACAAAATATAAGAACAATACAATTATTATAATATAAAATACAGTTATAATTAAGACAAAATAGTAGAAATATTTCTTAAATTCTAGTGAGAGTTCTAAAAGTTCTTTTTGGGGAGCACGGAGATTCATGAGTATGATTCATGCAGGATAAATGTTAAGTTAAATAGGAAAATTGAACATTTATTACACTTAAGAATGTATTGCACTAATATATTGATTTGTAAAAGATTGATATTTCATAAATTTGCTTTTCTCTAGGAAAAGGTAAAAAGAAAAGCTTTACTATCATACTTATAAACAACATATCAAGAAATAAGTTTTTTGTGGTAAAGAAAGAAATGATGCCACTTTAATGGAATAAAATAAAAGATTACATAAAAGCATAAACTTCTAAGGCAACAGACACAAAAATTTCATTAAAATGATATTAATTTTAAATAGTGTTTCCTTTCTAGCTCCTTATTATGCTCATTCCCAAAATCTATACATGAATTTTAAGATACGAAGTACAATATTTAATATCTTTAACCTAAAAATGATATTAACAAAGTGTAAAAGCTTATCATAGGTCACCAAAATGCTGGAAAACCATAATTATGCTTGTCATTTCATACATTCCAAGTAGAAATCAGCTCAGGAAGGCAATGTAGAGTCAAAGCTTTATGGTGTTCCCTGATTTTCTATTTTCCTCAATAGAAAATCTCTAGGTAATTTCCCAACAATGCTAAAATGCCAGCCAATGAGCTGGGGGTAGAGGACAGACTATAATCTTATAAATGAAAAACACATATTATATTGCACTACTTTGGTAAGGCATTTAACATTGCTAATCATCTATAGTGACAAAGTTTATGTTGTTTCTGATAAATATGGGGACATTTATGGGGGAAAGAAATCCAAACTAAGGAAATGTTTTTGGTTTGTGGATTCCCATATTAAAAAGGGAAATAAAGTAAACAAATAGCTGAGTCATTTAAATACTCAAAGTGGTACTTACTGGCATGACAATGTTGTAATGGATGCAGAATCCTGGCTCAGAAGGAAAATACTCATCGGATACAAATTTTATCCTGATTTGATTTCCTTTAGAAATCTGTTTTCCTGGTACAGTGCCAGAACCGCACCAGCGCCCTAACACAGTTCCGTCACTGGGTTCCTCAACTTCTACAAAATCATACCTGTAAGGAGATATAGGGAGAAGAGACAGAATGTCACAATCTCTTTTTTGGCAAATCAAATCCCAGGTCTATGGATGCAGTGACCACAGCAGTGAGTGATTCTCAAACTCTATTGAATGAATATAATTGAGTTTTCTAAAGAAGAGTCACAATGAAAACCCAAAACATTAAAGCGTTTGATGTCCCCAATCCAGAGGCACTAATACAGAAACCGTAAAGCAACAGAGGTTAACATGAGAAGGGGATCAGTAACCAGTGTAAAGATCAGTTAGAGATGAATCAACATGGGTTGATTCACATGTGAACACGAAAGCAATGCTAGGAATATTTTTGTAAGCTATCCTTAACTCAACTAGCAAAAATGCTTTATGTCTTTTTTTCAACAAAATTATATAAGGGCAGAACATGTTCTGCTTGGAAGTGAGGGGGGAGTGAGAAGGGGAATGGGTGGGGAAGGGGAGCAGGGGGGAGAAATGACCCAAACAATGTATGCACATGTGAATAAATGAACAATTTTAAAAAATGAGGTGTCAATGAAGAAATAATGAGTAATCTTTTCTCCATTTTTATTATTAACATATTCCAAATTTACCTTAGTAAATTTGAATAATTAAAACTTAAATATTTTGAGTCCAGTACTGTGCTGGTTGCTCACCCCTGTAATCCTACCTACTTGGGAGGCTGAGATCAGGAAAGCCATGGTTCAAGGCCAGCCAAGGCAAAAGTTCCCAAGGATGCAGTAACATGAATCTGTCATCCCAAGCTATGTGAGAGACCAAGAATGTAAGCATCATGTTTCCAGGACAGCCTGGACAAAAAAGTTCAGGAGAAGTGGTCTCAATAGAAAAAAGCTGGATCTGATTGGGTTGTATGTACTTGTCATCCCAACCATGGCAAGAAGTATAAAATACAAGGATCTCAAACCAGGCTAGCTTTGGCTAAAACCAAGACCCTAGTCCCAAAATGCCCAGAGAAAAGGGCTAGAGGCATGGCTCAAAAACAACAAACCGAAGGAAAACAAACAAACAAACCCCAAATATTTTCATATAGCAACTATATCTGACATTCAGCTCATGAATTATGCTAATTAATTTGCATAATTGTAAATGACGGTCTTACTCTAGTCTCAGTTGCTGTTATTATTGTCCTGTACTTTCTGGAAGTATCCCATCCTAGTCGTGCTCCTTGGCTTCCTCTCCTCATGGGAAAGGCAATCTTTGCTAAAGCCCTCATTACACATCCTTCACATCCACGGTATTCAGTGCTGCCTCGCCAGGGCTTCCCGAGTGTCCTCAGTTCACCCACATCTTTCAATTTTTGATACACACAAGTTTTTAGTATATTTACCCCTTCTTAAGCTATTAAATCCTTGAAGAAAGGAATCAGTCCTTACCTCACACACACACTATCAAAAACATTAGGAAAAAAGTATTATTTGTTTTAATAAATACCAACTTTGCTTTGGAAGATTTAGATGGGGGTGGTCCTTACTTAGAGCAGAACTGCCCCATGAGAGAGTGTTGGCTCAAGTACTGGGGGCTGCAAAGAGAACTGCTGAAATTTAGCAGGAAAGGCCCAAGAATGCTGAACACTAGAAAGTCTTGAAAATGAGCACTTGCCTCCTGTCCCCATGCCTGTACCTGGCAAATACTCACTGGACACTGTGTGCAGGTAAAGACTCTGTTATTGCTCATGCATGTTTGGAACTAGACATGATCACATGTATAAACACACATATATTTAATACTGCTTTGGTATAAGCTGAATTTTCCAGAAATAGAAATTCAACTATCAAATGAACCAAGGGAAGAATCTGTATTTGGTTTGGAACTTTACTGACAATTACCCTACTTTAGAAAAATATGTCACAAAATAAAAACATGGGTGTACTATGTGTATTACAAAACAATTCAAATATTCACATTAGTCTATATCTACAGCTATCACAGTCTTGAGAAGTGCTTAAAAGATGCAAACATCTGACTAGTTCCTTTTATTTTTAATGTGATTATTAATGTGCACTTACACTGAAATACATTATTTTAATATAATTATTTTCTTATTAGTTCAGCTAGTTTTTCAGCACTGGAGAATCAAACTCAGGACTTTATACATGGTAGATACATGCTCTACCACTGGAGTTCTTATTTCAGCTTTATAAAACATCCAGGTCACTGCATTTGTTTTTTAAGCAATTGTACATATATTAGATGATGGCTTCTACAGATTGCACTTCAGGACACTAAAGTGGACATTTTAGAACTTTTATTAATATGGAAGTCTGATATGGTTTGAAAACCACTATTAGGTTTTAAAGAAGTCTAACTCCAATAGATATGTCATAACAAAAAAATGGACATTTTATGCAGCATTGAAATATATTGAAAAAGACAAAGTATATAATGAAACCAATTATATTTATAAATCTTCCTCCTAAGGAATTATCCAGCACTCTATTACGGCATGTAACTCATTCTGCTTCAGCCTCATTTTTCATTTACAGGGAGAATTGCCACTGAAAGAATTTGCCTTCAACTCTAGCCTGCACCTCTCTACCCCCAGATACCGACTTTAAGATAAACTGGGGGCTTTGAAAGCAATAAATAAAGAAACCCAAAAACAATAGGGAGAGAATATCCTAACAAGTCCATGGTCCCAAGTTAAAAATGCATAAAGCAACCAAATATTGTCAGGAGTTTGTGGAGGGAGGAGTGGGAACAGGAGTAGATGGAGTTGGGTAGGACAGACCTAAATAAATATTTCAGATGGTTCAAAATTTAGTAACTGTCATTTTCATCAAACGGTTATTTTCACATCAAGACTGTGTACACGGGAAACAAAGCTTATATTCACAGGTTATCTGATTACTCTGTGTTTGGGAGGTAGGTTTCCTCCCTTCATTCTGTAGGTGTCGATGAAGAGTGATTTGGTGTAAACTGTTCTACTGGATACAGAGATGAAACAATAGCTTCTTTGGGCTCAGCATTCACAAAGCACTTTAGTAACAACTCTACCGAGAGCATACCGTAGAAAACTGGAAGAGTAAGAGTGATTTTACACAGAGAGATCAGGACCAATTTACTAAAGATTTGACATCTGGGTTGCCAATCAGTATTGGCTGACCAGGACTGAGAAAGGAAGGAAATGGAAATGCATTCTAGCAAGAAGTGCAATACCTAAGATGTAATATAAGATTGAAGGGGCTATGCATGGTCCATCATGAACAGGATAGGAAGCAAAGAAGCTGAGGCTGGTCAAGCAGGAAAAACAGAAAGCCTTGGTAGTCTAACAGCTTGTTAGAATCTTATTTTTAAAGCCAATATTATAAAAGAGATGATCATAGTTTTCATGGGCCCTACATTTCTTAGAAAAGAAAATTATGTCAATATTTTAAAAAATTGAATTTCACAGAAAATCTGAATTTCTAACTTTGTGTCTTTAAATTTGAAGGTCTGGGAAAATTGAATAATACTGAATATCACTATCTTTAGAGTGACTCCTTGAAGGCTCATCTCTAGAACTGGTGTCAGAACCAAAACAGGAGGTGTCTTTGTTTAATTTACTGCCTTTTCCATAGCACCTGCATGCCAGGTACACAGTAAACACTCTATCTGCATTTGCATAGCAAGGGCAAGCGCACATGGCCTCATAGCAACTGAGGTCAGAGCTACATGGAAATAGCCTTAGATGGATCATGTCAGTTTTGGTTTTACAAATCCCTCCCTATTGTCTATTCTTTTTTTTTTTTTTAAACAGCTAGATCTCTTCACTTATTTACATTACTTGCCCCTGTCAACGTCTGAGTTTGGCACCACTGTAGCATATGAAGCAAAGTTCTTGGAAATTTCTATGAAGGGAATAAGAGACACAGAATCATCAAATATTTGAGGAATTCCAGGAAATGTTTCAAGTGCAAGTCAAAAGGAAAGATTCTTCAACAAAAGCACCCTGAAAAAAACAGTCAGGGCCAGGGGAAACCCATCTTGAGTGGTGGCACAGAGCTAAGGAAAGAAGGACTGGAGAATATCACCAGAAGCAAGGTGGTCCACAGTGCCAAGTGCCAGAAAAAGGAAAAAGGAGAAGAAGGTCAAGAATGCCTATGGGATGTGGCAATTACAAAGTCATTTTCAATAAACAGGTTGGACAGAACACACTGCCAAAACTTTACTTGAGTCCATTTTCAAAATAACAAACATTTGAAATATAGAAAGTATCCTGAGAAAAGATTATCGTATTCTAAAAGAAAAGGATACCATATCATAAAATTAACAACTCATGTTACTATTTTATTATGCATAATTATACTATACATAATTTTCTTCTCATTTGTTTGAAAAATACTATATATGCTAATCTGAGATGCAACTTTTAAATAAGAATTTAAGATTGTTTTTAAACACAGAATGAAATATCTCGATTGTAAGTGTTAAGAGCTTATTAGGGAACAAATAAATCTTGGGTTGGGCAACATAGATAAGTGGTTAATGACTTGCCTAGCGTGCACAAGGCCCTAGTACTGAAAAAAAAAAAAAAGTCTTAACTTTGGCCTTAATTTACATACTCATATAAAAATCATTGTCCTCCAAATTAGATATCCATTATTACTTATTTCATGAAGATTTTCTACTGAATTTGATGCCATGTAAAATAATCTTTATAACGATTTCTGGAGTTACAGTTAGACAGCTGACATTAATTCTTACATGCTCATACAAGTCTCAAACACACACTTATCACAGTGCTTTAAAAGTCTATGCAGTTGAACATTCCATGAACCTTAAATGAAAAGAGGATCTTGGAGTGCCATCCTCTTTACCTATGGAACAGTGGAACTCAGCAAATGCTGAGTTTCCTAGCAAATTAGGCATTTTTTTCAGAACTGTTATTATACAATGATTTAGTTCCAAAATTCATCCAAATTGTTCTAATGTTAAGTTTTATGGTCTTATCTAACAACTATTAGGATATCTATGGAATATAAAACTATTAATAAAAAGTAT